TGCATGTATATATATATATATATATACACACACACACACACATATATATCGGTGTGTGTGGGGGGGGGCATGACTGCAGTGCACTGACTTGTTACTTATCAGTTATCACTTACCCTCCATCACAAATTTCATCCATTGCCAGCATGACAATATCCAGGTTCTCTAATACAACTCGCTTTTCAACATTCTTTCGTAAAATCTGACTTACGGCATCATACAAGCAGTTCAGCACACTCATCAAAATTAACTGCAACAAATTTATCACATATAAATTTTATTATATTCCCATATGTGGTTTAAGAGTAAGTCATGCAGAAGGCAAAGCATGCATTAGATATTCTTATATAGTCTTCTTACAACATTTTACAAAGGAATATTGTTGGCAGTATCATGTCCATCCCTCTTAATAATTTTTAAACCAACTGACAAATTTTCGTAAGCACTGTTGAATTATCATACCACTAGAAACCATTATATCTTTGGGATTCTTAATTTCCAGCCACCAACAGTACCAACATGGCTGCCATACAAATCTGAGATGTGGGAGAGATACTAGCGCTATTTAATGACAGGACCTTGAACTGTCTGTGTAAACATATCTTCTAAAATATGCAAAATGTGTTCAATTAATCTGTCTGTAGAATATAAAACAAACAACAGAGTGTCTATACAAAATCTACATTTATGTTTGGGTTTGATGGCAATAACAAATGAGACATTGGAGACAGGCATGTAAAATTTGATACTGCGATCATAAAACATATCTACAAATTCTACTGAACAAGTGATTGAGGTTAGCTTTTTCTAACTGACCCAACAGAATAGGTGTCCCCCACCCCCTCACACGAGGACTGAAAGAGATCCAATAACCTCAATGTCTAGTCTCTAATTCTTCAAATAAACATAGCATAGTGGTACACAAGGCAGGTTAAATTCACTTATAAAAATACATTCTTTTTTCTGCATATGAATATCTAGCATTACAACATTAAAGACAAGTGGATAAGCAAAATTAATGTTGTACGCATTAAAGCAGTTGCAAGATACACCAAAAAAAAAAAAAAACCCGAGTGTAACAATGACGGTCAAGCTCGCAACATCACGATTAATCTCATACAACATGCAGTTAAATCACTAGCAATATACCAAATTATTAGTAATAAAATCAGAAATGCTAACGTTAAAGCAAAAGGGTCATGAATCAAGAAATTAGAAATAAAATAACTCATACACATATTAAACCTCACATTATGAAAAGCATTAATCAGAATTACAAAACAAAACCACATCAATAATTATTTGCTGAAAAGGAATTCAGCATCTTATACAAAATGTAGGAATCTAACCTTGTTCTGTTCTAAAACCACAGTCTTGAGGAATGACATGTACAATAAATTTTAAAATAATATTAAGATGGGCAACTTTGATACGGCACTATAAAGCCAAGCAACACGGTCAATGTACGTATCAATCAAGATGGAAAGAATAACTGAAAAACATTAATGTTAACTAACATATACTGAAAAAGAAAACCAACTTTCATGTGACTGTATGTGTGAAATATAAATAGGTTCCAACACTGAAATCTAATCTGTCAGTTTCCTAGAACATATACAGGCCCCTGAAGATGACTTCAAGCAAGACAAAACATGCAGGACAGATACATAAATTATTATGATGTTTCAAGATGTCATAAAATTGTAGTTGATGGTTCTAAACTGATAACATAAATACCTCATTTTCATGTGAACTTCCCATAACATAGAAGAACAAGTCTACATTGCTCCTATATACACACGTAAGTCCATCAAGCATGATGATCTCTGCATTTGCTCGATGCGTCTTATTGAATAGATTTTTTTCAAAAGCTTTTTGTTCTTTTGCTGTCGCAAACACGTTTTTGTCGTAGTATTTCGCTAATATTCTGTTTCCATCATTATCAAGGATTGCCATGCCCTTGACTGTATATAATGTTGGTTCCTTTAAAAAACCAAAACTTTCAAATAAAATCTAACACACGTACACACACCAGCAACATTACTGCACAAGGTAACTGTAGTTCCACATTAAAAATGTTAATGTCTACAATTACTATATTTTATATCTCAAACCAATCATAATTAAACGATATATACAAACGCCAAATATTAATTAACTTACAAGCAGAAGACTTTCCATATTTCCATATACACGCATGTTTCCAACCAATCTGCCAACCATATACTCGTATATGTGGTTGATATACCAAAAACACATATAACTCGATATTGTCTGCCGATGTATTCACCGTGATGTCACAATTGTATTATGCTGCCATCTAGTTTCATCATTCGGGATATTGCTGCTAAATGACTTTCGCCGCTACTGAGAATTAGGTCGGTAAGATGGTTGACTATTATCGTACTAGCCTACCATCCTCATCAGTGGTAACTACACAATGTGTACCAGGTTGGCCCACCGAATCCCCGAGCTGAAACAAACGGCACTGAATAATTTTTCCACCCTCATTTCCTGTATTACAAAGGCCCTTACTCCATTTTTACAAGGGAGTTTAACTAACATCACTTCAGTCGTGTCAATCAAGATTCTTAGCAGTGCCTGTAAAATATGGAGACTTAATTACATTAATACAACATCCTCTTACCTAAATTAACCGGATCAGTGTGAACTATATCATCAATACAAGACTTAAAAGTGATTTGGTTCATTTTGGTCCATCACATTAGCAATTTTATAAAAGGTTAATCAACTCTGTCCAGTGTGACTGATAATATGTTTTCTTTTCTTCCTCTCCTTTCTAATCCTTCATCCTTAACATGTTTCGGTCTTAGAAACCATCTTCAATAGACGGTCTCTAAGATGAGTTGTAACCCCACACCCAACCACCACCCCTTGCAGAATATCCGTGACTGCTTATTCAATATATTCACAGCTAGCTTCAACATCTGGAGGCCTATCTTCCATCTGCAACCTGAGGACGTAGCGGCTCTGGTCTAGAAAAACGAAATTAACAGCCGTTGGGATTCACTGCACCGACCACACGACACCCTCTATCTGCTAAAGTTGGCACTAACTTCGGTGACAAGCAGAAGTTGCTCAGTTGATACGGTTAGCTTGCAGACTAAAGCCTTGGAGTTTCTTTTGTACTATTTAATAGTGCCACCAGTTAATTGTGGCAGCTACGAGTAATCTCAAATCGGACAATTCTATAAAGGTGGATGAGTGGGAGGGAATCAAATAGTGTTTGTGTATATTTAGTACTTTTATCATACTAACAAAATACGTTATTTCTGAAAAAAAAGAAAATTAAGTCTTACATGGTTAATATCACACATTCAAAATTCATGCATCAAAGTTTTGACAAAGAAGCCATCTGCTGAATAACCAGCTACCAAAGACACAGCCTGGCCTGACCATATGTTTATTGCAGATTTTTTCCATTATGTAAGATTTGAGGCTTTCACGGCGACTATGAAGAAAGCAGTCTTCTGGGATTTGGCACCGTGTATATGTGGTGCTAACCGACGTTTCGGAGGAACGTATCACCCCCATCTTCAGGGTAGAAGAAAAAGTATAAGAAATCTGCGAGCGACAAAACCGTGAGAAACGGTAAAGCAGACTGTGTCGGTTAACACCACATATACATGGTGCCAAATCCCAGAAGACTGCTTTTTTCCATTATGTTATCAACATGACATACTGGGTTGAAATAAAAGAATTTCAATCAATATTGCACATTTATTATACAATTTCATATAGCCTTTATTTCATTATACAATTTCATATAGCCTTTAAGTCATGTTCACTACTAATCTGAACAGTTGCTAAACTTCAATACAAACATAGCACCTGACATTACATTCTCATGTATAAAATGGTAATTAATATTGCTGCTAGTAATGTTAACTGCACATGTATAGCAATACTGACATATTCTGACAACACCACAGAATTCTGGTTGAAGACAATGAAGTGTCATTTTCTTATGCTTGAAATCTTTCAAATTTTCAAGGTACACATGATAGGAACTTCACAAATTTCACTAAACATAGTAAGTAGTGATGATAATTTTAAAGCTTGAACACAAACAGAGTAATAAATAGGCCAAATAACAAATTAGTTTTTAACAAAGCTTCTGCAAATAATAACGAATGTAATAAGCTTAAGTACAAGGTACCCTTCATGGTATACCATCAAAACATCATGTCAATACAAGGTAAAATTGACGTATTGTTAAGTATATTGTTTGATGCATACCCCCATGTACTTTGCTTATCTGAACATCACCTACGTGAACAAGAAATTAGTATGTTATGCTGTAGTCCATACCGATTGGCAGCTAAGTATTGTAGAAGTACTAGCAAGTCTGGAGGAGTATGTATTTATGTACACGAATCTTTATCATTGACAGTTTTTGACCTGAGTAAGTTTTGCAAAGAGCATGATTTTGAATAACATGCCGTGAAGGCCCATAGGATTGTGAGACGTTGAGGGTCCCACATTATCTAGACAATCGGCTGAAAGATAGAGGTAAGGTTGTCAGCCTTACGCGCCCGCCACGCTTTACTCTCTAGGAAAATTATTTATTTAATTCCTGGTACTCATTTCTGTTAGAGGCTGAGTGAACCCCTGGATAGTAAAAGTTTGGTTGGTGGAATCTTTTGTGATCTGACCAAAGCATTTGACAGTGTGGATCATGAGATGTTGTTGGCAAAATTGAAGTTCTATGGTGTGCAAGGAACATTTCTAAAACTGATTGCCTCTTATTTGAACAACAGATATCAAAGAGTTATAATAAAGGAGAAATCACTTTGTAATTGGTTCTCGAACTTGGAACAAATGAAACTAGGAGTTCTTCAGGGATCAATTCTTGGTCCATTGTTTTTTCTTCTGTATATAAATGATTTGCCAGCTGTAATAAGTAATATGTCGAAACCTACCTTGTTTGCAGATGACATTAATTTAATACTTGTTTCCCCTGATCTTATGCAACTTAAAAGTAATCTTGTGGCTGTTTTGGGGAAGATAGTAGATTGGGTTCAAGCTAACTCAGTGACACTGAATCTTTTTTTTTTAAAAAAAAGGACACATTTTATGTACTTTAAAGTGAAAATGAGCCAATCTGACCAATCCACTTTAAAGTTCATGGACAAGCAAATAAATAGCACACATTGCATTGATTTCTTGGGAGTGACACTTGAGTTGACATTATCCTGGCAAGGGCATATAACCAGAGTAATTACTAAGTTGAATTCTGCTTGTTTTGCTATTAGAACCCTTAAATTGTTTTTACCGATAGAGAACTTAAGGATGGTATATTTTGCATATGTTCATTCTGTCATTACGTATGGTCTTCCCTTTTGGGGAAATGCTGTTAATAGCAAAAACATTTTTATAATGCAGAAGAGAATTATAAGAGTTATTTTTAATGTGAGCCCCAAAATATCTTGTCGGTGACTTTCTAGACGCTTAAATATTTTACCTTTTTATTCTCAATACATGTACTCCTTGCTGTTGCTGGTAGCAAAAAATGCATCTAAGCGGTGAGATATATAAATAAATATAAGACAAAGCATTATGGATTACTCGAAGAAAATAAAATGAATGAATGAATGAATAAAACTCATTAATATCTCTGTTACTGAAATGAGGAAATGAGGAGCGATGACAGGACCAGATCCAGTTCCTAACATGTTACTGTTTTAGAATACGAGATGATGGACATGTCCAGGAAGACAGTAATACAACACCATCAAAACCCTTTAGGAAGTAACATCCATTTTACTCACATGTCAGAAACAAAGGAAGGATGAACCTAAAGCATTACGAGGGATCACTTCATACTGAAAGGAGAAGGTGCTATCAGGATATGACAAATAATGCATCTACACAAATTACTGACATATAAGCTGTTATCTCAGAATGATATCACTACTGTAAGCATTAACCTTCAATACCTTTGACTGTAAAATCTGCAAGGCACATCACAATGTGTATATAGATGAATATGGAAGATGATTTGAAAGAAGGCAGAAACCCTTTCTTGTGGAGAAAAATGCATTAGTTAGCCTGTTCCATTCAAATGAACAGAGTTCACTTTGACAATCCAAGGTGCATTATTTTGCGGAAGATACCAGGACCCTCCCACAGACCTCTGCAAATGAAAGGAAAAAACATACTACTTTACTGTCTTAGTTTCTGAAGCTCAATGCTTCAATTTGTTTCCTGAAAGGCTTACTGTACATCACAAAACAAAAGAGTTGTTATTATTCCTTTTTGTGTCTTCCAATATGAAGTTGACTGGTTATCTTTCATAGCTGATATCCAGTAACCATAAAATTGCATTATCATATTCTTAGTTGCAATTTGTATGCACTTTTAAGCAATGACGGAACCCAAAATTGTATGCATGCAGTTATATGTTACTGCCACATTAAGAAGCCACCCACTAGCTGGCATCCAGCCCTATAATAAAGGGGCTCTAATATCACACAGAAATGAATGAGCCTCACTGTAAATGGATACTCAAAAAATGTGTGCTTTTACATTACTGAATTTACCTCAGCATCAAATTGAAGTACAGCTGTGGCATCACATCCTTTTTCATGAGGAACATGGTGCGTCTCTCCACACCCTGATCAAACGGGAATGTCTCTAGAGGGTTACTATCATAGTCGAATTCTGCCATGATACAGCTTCCATATCCTGTTACCAGAGGGCATGATGTATACCCATCATAAGTAGATGTCAGAGTCTTTCCTGCCATTGCTGCTGACAGATTTTTTCGTAGCACACCCAACTGACCAGCTGAAATAATGAAAGCACAAACTCATTAATCTAATAATTTATGGCCTTGCCAAATGATGAAAATGGGACACATCTTCATGCTCCTGTGTTACAAGCCTAAATAAAAAACTCTTGGTGCTCCTCATCTACAAGTACTGCGTAATATAATAAAAACATGCATCAGAATTTTCACTACTTCAACACTATATTACAGACTGTTATAATCTGAACACATGAATTAAATATGGAAATAATTATTTTACCTCATAATTTCCTGAATATCAGAAAATCACAGGAACTCTCATTAGTTGGCTTGGGTTAGCGTTCAGGTTGTGAAATTTTCTCTTACTGCTAAAAAATCATCAGAGCATTCAGTGAGCACATGCATATAGGTCCCACATAATTTTGGGGTGTTTTACAAGAACCTTTCTGGACTTGCTTCTAATTCTTCTGGTTTTACCTAATATTTTTCACATGAAAGAAACTTCCAGTTCCCATACCAACTGCTGCTCCAGTCTTCGAGGTAGGAAGGGTTGTACAATCTCCAATGCCAAAAATGTTGGGGTATTTCACATGCTGCAGTGTGCCTTTATCTATGGCAAGGAAGCCTGTGGAGTCTGACAATTCCTTGTTTCTGGCAATGACTGGTGTTGGGCGGTGTGGAGGACAGACATGAAGCATCTGGTACTGTAAGCAAAATGGCAGAAAAACACAATTTGAACTGAAGTTTTAAAAAGTGCCAATTTTGGAAATCAAATTGACGTGTGTAGGTTAACAAAGATTTTATACATACATACAATTGGAAAGACTGGTGTTTTAAATTTTAAAACTACGGGCAGTGTAACAGCTACGTAAGAATATACACCTGATGATGGCCATTTAGGGCCGAAACATGTAGTGTAGAGGAAGGAAAGAAGAAAGAACTACAATTAAATTGTTGCACTTAAGACGGAGTTTGTCTCGTATACAATTTTACATGCTGATACATTATACATTTTCCAGGGAAAGGAAAGTTATTTTATATAATACTTTTACCTATTCATAAAGAATACTTTAAACCCCTACAGTGTTGCAAACACTGCTCACTCTCCTTGCTGGTTACTTGCTTGGCTCACTTTCCAATCTTGAAAATTAACACAGTACATTAAAAAAGGTAAAGCTATCCCTGTAACAGGCCATGGAGGCCCATAGGGTTGTGAGATGTTTAGGGTACTACATTATCTAGACAATTGGCTCACAGATGGCAGTAAGGCTGTGAGCCTTACATGCCAGCAGCCCTTCCCCAGGAAGATTCCTGGTTCTCATTTCTGTTAGAGGCTGAGTTGACCCCACGGCCATAGTGTGGCTGAAAAGAATAAGTAAATTGAAAAAATCTGCCTCATCAGGACTCGAATCTGCAACCTTCCGACTTGTAGCATAGTGCCTTAACCCACTACACTACCATGTGGCCCAAGATGACTCATGTTGCCTCCAAAATGTTGGTTAACTATCAGACTACATGGTCTCACATCAGAAAACATAGCATGGTCAGCAATGTGAGACGTCATGGTGACGGTCGCTGAAATAACTTAAAAACAATTACTTCTAAAACTAGTAGCCTAATGAATAATAGAAACGCACCTCTTGAACAAATGTCTCATCTGGTTTCGACAAAGATTTAAACACAGCTTCTTTCTTGTCTGGTCTTACTTCTATCAAGTCAACATTCAGATTCACTTTTACTTTTTTTTTCTCAGCCACTTTCCAAAGAGAAGTGGCATATTTTGGTGCTTTAAATATAACAGGTAATGCTGTGTTATACAACACTTTTACATTTTTCCTCCCATTCTGAAACCAAAGAAGTTACCTAATGAAGACACATCACAATAATCCCAGTTATAGTCACAACTCTGAAATTACAACACGATATTCCTGTGCAGGGTTTCTGAATACTAACAAGCCCAACTTATATTCTGGGTGTTCCCAGCTTACAGCACAAATATGGAATAAGATATTCTGAATATTCAGGTTTTCTCGTGCAATGCCAGTGAATGCCACACCCACTCCATACCACATACTCTCAAACTCACACATTCAGTCATGCATTTGATTTGTTCTGTGGTTGTTTATGACTTTTCATGATGATGACACAAACTGAAACTTAAAAATATACCATACATTATGGACCCAGAACAATTTTCCAAGCTTTTTAAAACATTTACTTAAGTGTACACTGATTTTCTTACAATTAATTATATTTATATACAATATCAAACATTACACAGAAGCAAAACACACTAAATATGTTACTGATAAACTCAACGAAAGCACTGCTTCATATGTTTAGATATTCATGTATATCACATAACTTTCTGACATAAATCTTCATAAATTTTCTGTTCAGATCCTTAAAAACAGAGAAAAACATGTATAAGAAAACAGAGTATTTGGGGAATTATACTCTTTGCATGTAATCTGCAGTGATGTACGCAATCTTCTGGGGAGCTCCAGCACATTTAACAGGAGAGTTTGGGTACGTGAAGATTGCATTGCCACTATCCAGACGCTGGATGCAGCCGTATGTTTTTGTAACATATAATGGAGAGTAATTAGAACACACACCACTCCTATGATCCTTCAGACCCTCTAGGAGACCTGGTATCTGAAACAGAATGAATAATCTAATGCTTTAGCACTTGAACCGGCTTCCTCCACCATCCTGTCTCACACACACATTTCACAGAACTTTCCAAAATTCAGAAGGAACAGATTCCTTCTTTACAACCCTATGAATAAACTACAACTGAATGTTCCTCGATCTACACTAATTACGTTACACACATCAGTACTAAATGGCAGCCAGAGCTTGAAGCCAGCCACTCGCTTTCATCCAGTAGTGAGGTTAAGAACACATGCAGTTTTACCTTACTATTTTGCTTACTTTCACTCTTTAATGAAGTATGGAATAATTTTCTGGGGTAATTCATCTGACAGTAAAAAGGTATTTACATTGAAAAAGAAAATTGTTAGAATCATAATGGGTGTCAAATCCTGTAATTCCTGTAGAGATCTATTTAAGAGACTACAGATCTTAACTTTTCCTTGTAAATATATATATTCATTAATAAAGTTCATTACAAATAATGAAGAACATTTTGAGATGAATGTGGATGTATACAGTGTTAACACAAGACACAAACACTGTCTTCTAACCTAACTAATTGCCAACTCTCATGCTTTCAGAAAAGCGCATATTATGCTGGGATCAACATTTTTAATAACCTGCCATCTGATCTCAAAGGTCTTATGAATGAAAAGACACGATTTAAAATAGCACTGAAATGATACTTAAATACACATTCATTCTACTCTGTTGATGAATACTTATTGTCTAGAAAATAACTTATGTATCTTTAAATAGCCTTGTGTGTAGTCACTGCATTTTTTTGTTTCTCTAGTGTGAGAACTCCATTGGGACTGTACATATGTTTTGTATTTATATGACATATTCCACATCCTACAGCCATTTTGACTAACTTTTGATCCATGGAATGGAATGTAATGTAATATCCCTTACACACCACAATGGTGATGCTTCAACATAGACGGAGATATACTAGAAGTCACTACCTGACTTTCATTAAATATCGTATGCACAGCATGGCTAATGAAATAACAATTCTGAACATCATACACCTCTAACCAATATGTAAAGAAACAAGATAAATTAAATAATGCTGCCAGCACTGCCTAACCTGAGGAGAAATTTGAGGTTTTCATGTTGGTGAAAATTAAGACTGTGGTGTTCTGGGTTATGACATTCTGAAGGATCTACTCACTCCAACTTCAGGATAGAAATTCAGTCTTCTGGACTATGGTGTGGTGAAGAAACGACAAGGTACATCACACCCAGCTTCAGAATATCAGTATCTTCGCCACCCAATCAAGATATGTGGATCCAGCATGATGCAGATGTATGAGATCTAGCTAAATCTGAGCAGGAGCAAGAGAATAGGATGGCTTCTGCCAATTCACATCATAGAACTCTCTCATCTAATCCTTAAAAGACAGGAAGCATCCATCTTACAATTTCTCAGACGGGGTTCTCCAACCAGGCCACTAGGCCAGATTTACAATGTCATGATAAGGGCATGGGCAGTGTACTTTTCAGATCACCAATCTGTACTTTAGGGCTCCTTTCTCTTCTTTTTCTTCTTTCCATCCCTTGCCTTCAGCCCCCTTTTGAGCCTCCTCTGCCCTCCCACCCACTAGGGCTCTCCTTCCTCTCCTACTCTTTGTGCCTGAACATGGAGACCACATGTTTTGCCAAAACACTGGTAAACCTCTTCCAGATTATTAGACATTACACTCTCAAAGACAATAATGAAAATTTTCACTGGCATGAGAACCTCAAATTTCAAAGATAGTAAGAAAACCTTTATTTGTTTGAAGGACTGAGAGATGTTTGGCTTCATATGCTACAATGCAAAAAACTGTGTTTATGGCCTCTTTCACCTTCTCAAAGTCCAGCTCTATACCAGTAGCAACAACCATGTAATCATATGCCACCGTGTCTCCTTTTTGTGTCGTTACTTGACTCTTCTTCGGGTCTATTTCAGTGACAGTGTCTTTCAGCCACAAAGCATCTTTGGGAAGAACATCTTCCATCTCTTTATAAGACTGGTTCAATTTCTTCATTCCACCACCAATCATTGTGAACATTGCTTGATAATAATGTCGCTGTAACAATGAAAAATAGCAATTTCAGTTTTACTTCTAAAGCTATTATTTCTTATTTTACGTTTAGTTCTCATTAGATGTGCAGAACCTTTATGGCACACATCATGAGCACCAAGTTAACATACATGAACAATTTCATGAAAAGCAATACTGGAGTGTGAACAAGCAAACTAGCATCATATAGGATACCCTGCACACCACTACAGCAGTGTATCTGCTGTCCACTATGTCACTAAAAACTGCAAAATTTGAGGGCCATGACATAAGATCGTTCACAACTTTTACGACTTCATCTAGCATTTTATTAGGAATATTTTCCACTGAGCAACTCAACAGGAAATGCTTCATATAATGCATTAACTTGTCCTTTAGAGTGAAATGCATGCCAAGCAACATTCCCTTTGAGTAATTCTCATCCTTATGTAATTCACAAATCAGTACAACAGAACTGTTCACACTGAGAAAGATACCCCTTTGACTTGTATTGTACAATACAGGCAACAATGTACATACTTAATTTTTACCAGCATGTCTAAGTATGTTGATTTACAAAGCAAAAATCGACACCTTTATGACTGAGTATGCTGGTATGTGGGTAAGGGTCTAGGCTCATATTTAGGAGATGTTTGGTTCAAATCTCGGCCAGGACACTGAATACCCTGACTGAGGCAAACGCCAGCATAGTACCTCAATTAGGCCAAGACCACCTCCTTCCAAATCTTTTCCAATTCATCATCTACCTATCATCCTATCATTTCATGCTATACAGTCTAGCCACAGCATTGTAAAAGAACCCACAAAAGACAGCTTCATGTGGTATCAGAAGAGAAGTTACTCAAAATGAATATATAAGATTAGATACAGGGTGTTTTTAATGAATTTGATGGGTTCATGGCTCTGCGCTTCACCACAACTGGCACACCAGAATTGTACCAATGACTCAGCATGCTGATAACATTTGGAATAAAGGGAAGTTCTTACCTTTAATCACAGATCACATGCGATGTTGAAAATGCTAACCCTCTACACATAACTATCTTTCAAAATTAATTGTTTCGTTAAAAAACAAACATACAACAATCCTTCTTGCACCTACAGCACACCAGCACTAACTTTCACTGGATGGCTTCAGCAAATGTGTTGCCATTCTTGCACTAGACTCTGACACTCCAATCTCTTGAGCTAGACATTTCAGTAACTATCTACTTCTAGGTTCAAGTCTGGCCCCTATGTCATCTAACTTCTCCACAGTAAGCGCTCAATGCTCATGTTTTTTTTTTTTCTGTATATTAAGAGTCCTGTTGTTCTAAATTTATTCACCAATCATGAATTGTCTGTCTACTGGGAACTCTTTCATCATGAAATTTACATCAAAATTTTCACCTTCACTTTCCAGCAGATCTGTATTTCAAGCGTCATACAAAAATACACATTGCTCTAAAGTATGGCGAGCCGTGTTATGCTGCACTGCTCACTAACTGTTCACTGGGAATAAATGGCTCATGGCACTGATAACTGCTGCCTACTGCTCATAAATCATAAATAAACTGCCATAAATGAACCACACTGCCTGCCATGTAACATAATACTGTGTAGAGGTCTACAAGTAATTATCTACCTTCATTTCAAATGTTACAGGCCGTAAAACATGCTGAGTCACTGGCAAAAAGTGCATGCACTCTGTGGCCCGTGATGCACCGGTAGCGGTTAAGCACAGAGCAGTGAACACATCTAATTAGTAAAAATATTCCCTGTATTACAACGGTACAAAAAAATTAAGTTACCAAATATCTGCCACTGGTATATAATGAAAGGTAACATAACTAATTTGCCTAAAAATATTTTGTGCAAAAGAAAATTCTTATTCACTGGAAGGGGAAGAAAAAGAGAAAATCACTAGTTGTAAAAAGTATGCTGTCAGCTAGACTATCAACATTTAACAACAAAGCACAAAAACATGTTTGTCATATTCAAATCATTTTAACCTTCCCTACCCATGGTTATGTAACCACTGAGAATCGTACCCATGTTGACAGAACAATCTTCATTCAGAATAGCCTCAGAAATGACCTCCTGAAATTATGACATGAAGTTGTGAAATGGCCTTTATGTATGATTTTTTTCTGATATATATGGAGGGGAAACTTGAATGTCAAATAAGAAAACTGTATGCAGATTGCAAGGAGTCATGACAAATTGTTTATGGATTAGAATAATATAAAAGAACAGATATAATCCAAGATCAAAACATGAAACATGATCTGAAATAAAAACACTACATGAGAAGCTGGTCCAATTAAGGATACGGTAATATAAACATGAGTTGCAATTGCAATAGATAACAACAGAATTCCTTTGAGACAGACAAAAATGAACATATTAAATAAATAAACCATGAGCAGATTAAGGACAAGGTGGAGAGTTCAAGTGAGAGAAGAGATTATGGAAAGACGGACACAGATACAAGAGCATCTAAAGGACAGAAAACAACGGAGAAGGCCTAGTTACAAGATGACCAGCCCATGAGAAAATATCACTGGATGATAATGAAATGTTGTCTCTGTGGACATTTATTCTAATGAGCGATCCTTTGTAACCTAATTCATATAACTTACATCAGCTGGATCAATGATGATGACTTTGTTCTTCCCAAGTTTTGATGCATATTTGGCAGCTATACTGCACCCTCCAGCTCCACCACCCACAACCAACAGTCTACAACTACAACAACATTTCCAACTAATAACAAACACTGAAACGGTCAACAAATACACCTGTTCCCTCTACCCTTTACTGACACTAGAGAATGAAATCTCCAGTCAAACTGGCTTAGTAAGCATTTTAAAATGGAACTCAATCTTGTTCAAAATACAATCTATACACTTTTCTGCCTATTTCATCTACTTGTTTTGCTGCAATCAACTGAACAGTCCTCTAATAAGGCTTTGCCAACAATTCAACACAATCAAAGTATTCTGCAACCATCAATGCAAAGATTACATTTTGCAACTATTGTTGCACACCTTGCTTAAAAGGCTGAATCTGGCTACCATGACTGTGATAAAAACAAGCAAGCAGGAGGTGAACATGCTTCCAGTGATAAATGGATGGGTGAATCACTGGTCAGCAACATTGCTATGCAATTAATTTTTATCTTTTATGGCTCCATGCCTGCACCTGCAAATGACTCACTGTAAAACGTGACACTCTTCCTTGCGTTTCCATTCATGTAAGACATTCAGACACCTGTTTCATTTCCTCGTATAGAGCACTGAATTTAAATGGTGAAATACTCACTTGAACAGCATGGTTCTTTGTTAGCTTGATTTTACACATGATGTATTACCCACTGACTAGTCGCTTGGCATTTAAGGGTATAAATTTTATGGTAGTATGGTATTGTAACAGACCATCTGCTTTAAATAACATGTGACTGTAGACAATTAAGATGGTCATGAACGGTTTACTCACAGCGCATTTCCTTTTATCCTGTAGAGGAATATGTTAATAAATAGTTTTCAAATTTTAAGGTTCTTGCTATGAAATGACTGATTGTATATACCGAATTTTTATTGTACATTTAATTTTTAAATCCTGATGAAATGTACTATAATTGGACTGTTAAATTAAGTATTTGTAGTTATGTGATCAAAATAATTGCATCAAACTTCTACATTATGAATATGGTGTTTTGTATTGATTGATGATGGTGAAAACGATAATCATATATCTGCATAAATTTGATCATATTTTATGTAGAAATGTTGTATTGTGATTGTGTTGCATGTTGATGGGTTCACTGCTTTTATGTATTTTGACATCTTCTATATCCTATGGCATGCGTGACCTGAATATTTACAATATTTACGTGAAAAACAATCATATGGATTGAGGAAAAGAATGTTCTGATATAAGTATCCTGGTGTTTGAGTTCCAGCTTCATTTATGAGTTCTGAATTGGTGAAGAAAGTGTGTGCAACTGGCACTGGTTTTGACCGCAACAGCACAGAGAGCAACTAAAGTGTTATTTCTATTGCATCATAAAATTAGACAAGTTTAAGGAACTAAAGATGGCTTGGGATTATATTTAACAGCTCACTCATGGTATTGTTCCAAGATTTACTGGGGCAATATTGGAAAGCATTTGTAATGTCTACTGGCTAAAAGCCCGTCAATTATACTATGGGTCTGAATGTAGGCAGCACAAAATAGCAGGAGTAGCATGCGACCTCCCTACTCATATGACCATAGGACTCATAGCAAATCTTCACATGATGTCCCTGCTGGACAGTTAACTTCAGGACTACATAAAACTTGGAATGAAAATACCAAAATCACTGGCATATTGGGTGAAGAAAAAAAAATAGCCATGAGTCAATCTGTAAGCCCATTAATACCGCCTGGTGTGGCAAACTGATTAGACAAGTACTGAGTGATAAATGGCCTGAAATTCAATTTCACAAACAAAAATGGTAAACTTTCATTCAAACGCGTGTACCATTAACTATAACAAAACACTGAAATCTGAAAACTGCCTTATGGGCACCCTTTTTATTTTGCCAATATGAAGAATGAGTCTATTTACAATAATAACACTAATGTACTTTATCCTCTGTTGTTAGAGAATATAAAACGATTCTGAACCAGGATGTCATTATATTGAACTTAGGATCATGCCTTACCTATGTTGGTCCCTTAGGGCTGTTGAAGTTGACAGATTTCTCCCCGTGAGGATTCTGCAAGGCGATTTCAGGTATGCCAAGGACTTGTAGCAATTCATCTTGAACTACTTCGGTAGTCTGAATTGGATACAACAGTAGAAAACTCTTTATTACTCTGGCATTATAAGATACGGTACCAATGAACGCCAATGAATCCTTCCCAGAATATAGTGTGACATCATACGTCACACTTATATAAACAAAATTCCGATTGGTTATTTACGGGCAGTCATTCACGAAATGTTTACTTCCTTACTTAGATCTATCTATATTATAAACAACGCTGACTTTGAATTACTTGCACTTAATTTCTCGTTCCAAGAAGTACTGAACGGACTGAAAGACCGCAATGAACATCTTTCTGAATATTCTTCTCTTTCATACACTGGTGCGTCATGCACAGTGGGCGATCCGCACTATCCCCACTGCCGAAACATCGCCATGTGAAGGATCTGAAGACTTATCATTATGTCTATGAAAAACACCCACGCAAACGAAACACTCTTTCGATTTTAATAAACTTCCTATTTTTCCTTACAACTATTACAGCATCACTATAAAAATAAACGGCACAACTGCCTTGCAACAGAAAGATAACACGTAAAATTTACCATAAAAGACATTTAAATCAATACTAACCTAACCCACATTTCCCAAGTCACGTACTCCACCGCCTCCAAGGCCTCCAATGTTCCGGAGGCTCGACCATGGTCAACGAGGTCAACTATATCCCTTCACAAAGAGCAACAAGTTGTCCGTTTTGAATCACAGGCAAACGGGAACCATTCTGTACAAGACAGCATGGTCATCATCGGTCATCATGGTTGAGCTTTAATCGCTTTAATTATGAACTGCACACTTGATGTCAATCCAGTTCAGCGTTGCCTGGTTGATGTTCATTTATTTTTGCTGCATATCCTGTAGAGGGAAAATTAAAATAATTTATTCTTCCAATCATTAAATTTGTAATCTTGTTTACATAAATATTGTATTTAATACCTCTCTAAAATAAGACGATCTTCTTTGACTTCCATCTTCATTGCCTTTAGGTTATTATTTCTCTTCATCATTCATAGGATATAATATATAAATATTAAATGAGTACTAAGTTATTCAGTTAACAAAATTAGCCACTGCTTAATCACACGTTTATATAAATTTCAGTCCTTCCAGAAAAATGGGGCTTCCAGTGGCATAGTTAGTTGAGGCACTATGCTACAAGCCAGAAGGTCACGAGTTTGACTCCCAGTGAGGTCATTAGAGTTTCTTCAAATGACCTAATTGTCCCAATTACACTATGGCCCTGGGGTCGACTCATCCTCTAACAGAAATGAGTACCAGGAATCTTCCTGGGGGTAAAGGGTGGCTGGTGCCTAAGCCTGACTACCATCTGTGAGCCAAGTGTAGAAAATGTGGGAGCCTCAATGTCTCACAACACTATGGGCCTCCATGGCCTGCTACAGGGATAGCTTTACCTCTTCTTTTTACTTTCCATAAAAATGCTAGGATAATACCTTCAAATAGGCTATGATTCTTTCCTCCATCCTGTTGATACTGTTATTCATAATCATGCTATCATCTCATTTGGTCCTGTATAGCCCTGCAGCAATTCACTGTCACCAGATGATCTTGGAATAAATAAAAAACAGAAGGCCATATTCATAAATTTGTAGGACAAATGTAAAGCTTTCAATAGTCTCTTATAATTTTACATATTCCTTTCCATGCTGTGAAGTCATACATGATGACTATTTCCTAATAAATCAGTGTAAATGCCTTCAAGACCTTCATTACTCTAAGTGACGGATAATATGGTAAGTAAATAGATAAAAGCATAACATTCCAGATTCAGCATTTATGTTTATTTTACAAAACTACTGATAAAAAACACATTCACAATTTTCTAATACTTTGGATTGCATCATTACATCTGTAACAATATTTTAAATTAGGTGGGATTATGTTATTATAAAAGTAAATAAACATTATAAAATTCTTAAACAACTCACTTTGCAATAACACTGCAATTATGGAAACAAACAGCAAGCACAAATAAACGACCTATTAATGCTTAAATTATTTTAATGACTGTGATTATCAGTTACATTGTATGTCATTGGTTTATAGTGGCAGTATTAAAGTTCATATTAATGCTGATAGGAAATGGGTAGTGATTATATGAAGGACTGACAATAAAACTAATCAGCAAAACAGAAACACAGAATTACGTAGGATTGCAGGAGTCTCTACTGGAATCCCTGTAACAGAAAGGCAAGGAGTTTGCTCTTCGTTGAGAGTGTTTTGTAACAAAGTCAAGAGTGCCTATTAGACAAGGCCAACTGCATGTTTATCTAAACACTTGTTGACATGGTTCCTTTTACAGATCATTGGTACTTTTCTTTTTTTAGAAAGAAAAATTATTATATTAAAATGCAGAAAGAGGATGCATAATTTTTAAGTATTCTGAAAAATAAACTAAAATATAAATGATGTGAGATTCTCATGCATGTCAATGGTTCTGAAGATTACTGCCTTCTGGGATGGGACAACATGCATTCTGGTAATTATTACTGATGTTTAGAAGAAACGTGAATCCTCCATCTTCACAGTAAAAGAGTAAGTAAATAGTAAGTTGTCTTTTATCTTGAAAATGGAGGCCGCATATTTTCCTGAAACTTCAATAATAATTTCAGACTATACAGCATCAAATCCTAGAAGACAGCATGTTCAATAAATAAAAGCTCAAACTTTCTATTATATTTTTTATATAAAAATGTACTGGTATAACAACAGCTGTATAATACCACATAAAAAACAATGCATTTTACATAACACATACTATGTGGTAACAACCTTAAGTCAGCGACTATATGAATGGAGGTGCTGACATTCTGTTTTTAAGAATCTTCATAAATTTTAAACAAAAATAATATTCTGGATTATATCAAGCAACGACAGATGCCACATACATTCACATTTACATACATCAGTTTTAAACACATTTCATAAAATATTTAGCAATGTTGGAAAATGCACAGCCTGTCACAATTACATATATAATATATGTATATTTATAAATATGCATGAAGTCTATTCCTTTGTCTCAACAAGAACACTTCATGTGAAGGAAATGTACATAGCATCAAATATCCATCTTATCAAAAACAAAAGGTTTTGCCTGCAACATTCTTTTATTTACTTAATACATGACAAAGTTCATCCAAATTTATTTAGATCTTTATCTAGTAATGGTAATGCATGACAATCAATTCAGACAAAAATTACATCTGGCTGATAATTCTGTTCACTTATAGTAATATTACATTCATGCAGATGGATTGACATGGTTACTCAAAGAGGTAAATTTCCTTCACATTTCATCACTTTTCTGAAAGGATGACTAAGAAGAACGAAACACTATTAAACCGTACATAAGAATAGGGGTCGATCAGATTCATGCATATTTTGCTTTTGAGGTATTTCAGTTCATGAAATCCAGGTACCATATATCCACCTAAGAGAGCAGAGCAATAAGAGAGGCTGGGAAACTGAAAAGAATTTTTTAATACTGTACTTGTAAAAAGTTCTGTTCCTTTACACCATTTAGCTGCCAATTTGATTAAAAAGTATAGGTGAAGCATGGTTTTCTGTTAATACATCCCTAAATAATACAACATATAAATGCTAGCTCTGCACAGGATGAAAAGTGAAGAATTTGAGCAATAGTCTGTTCATGGATGACAATTTCTCATCTCTGCAGATATATACAGAAAGAATAATAACAGCTGTGACATCATTCATCAAAACAAAAGGTGCAATGAAGCTTCAGACTCAAGCCGAACGAAAGGAATGTTATGTGTACAGCAGTAAGTGCCATTTGTGTGAAGAATAAGAGGAATGCGTGTCTTCCATCAGTATGCTACTGTATATTCTGCATTACTATACAATATTTTTTGGAGAAGACTGGAATTAATCTTGCATCCAATATGCTAGTAAAAGAGGCTGTATGGCTGTAATTTCAATACATTTCAAAGAACAGTGAAGTGCCTTAAAAACTTTTCTTACAAATAACAAATGGAGCAAGCTGTGAATGCCTTCACAACTCATTATTCAGAGGGGTAAAATTAATCACAAAGTACTTAAGGAATAAACAATGAAAGGACCAATTTACAAGATACTCAAGACCTTCCACGTTCACTGTGTGTTTGTGTCTTCAAACACAGTCCCATTATCTCAAATGACAAGAAAAAACCTGTTTATTTTAAATACAACGATGGTACCACAGGCTACATCATAAGAGAGCATTTGATAACTGATGAAGTTCATGTATTGTAACATGTACAGCTAGGCAAAGGCTTGATAAACACCTTCTTGCTTAAGGTCACACAACAATAAAATGAATGTTTATAGCTTGTGGCAAGAGTCAGCCAGCCAATGAACTGGCGAGATAATTATCACATGACTTGTTTTCTGTGTGGTCTTTGCTACACAACAATACAACTGTGTTTTCTGTGAATGGTCTCTGCTGAGAGGATATGAGAGAATTCAGGAATGGGGATTGACTTCATGTGAGTTCAGAAGTTCCAAGGGAACAGCAGTGTGGCCAGAAGAATAATGAGAAGACTTAGTGTGTGATGTTACATGTGCTATAGTTACAGTGATCTTGAGAGTGTAAGAACTAATTGTAGTTACAACTACTGAAGATCCAATAAACCAATTCACCAATCCAAATCTGTGTCTTGGTCACTGATACATGTGATAGTGTTATTCTCAGGAGGAGTTATTTTTCATCTACATACTCAAACGAATTTGCCAAACCAGATGTTACACTTATCCACGGCACCATTCTAGAATTGGTTTAGTGTCAAGAGGCTTTCATGGACAAATATTTCATATTTACAAAACTCTGTGGTCATATTTACTACATGAAAATAAATTCTTGCAGTACAGTCTGTCACATTAGGAAGGGAATACTGCTCAAACCTTGTCCTCCACTTCTCAGCTAAGGGGGGGGGAGGTACAAAACAGGGGGAACATTTGGGCCAGCCAGATACATCTGTAAATTTATAGACATTCCACCAATCGAAGGCAATTTAAAAAATAAAGGTGAAAACACTGTAAACGCTCTTCTCACAGATGATATTGCTACTCATGTGGATTATGCTGAGCTAAGTGGCCAGATGGGAAACAGCAGGAACTTAAAAAAAAAAAGCACATTATCTGAAGTCTTGTAGAGGAAACCTAAAGCAGCTTCTTAGGTTCCCATTTAACCTTTAATGGGCCAATGTCACATATATATGATGCAAGCTGCAACCTGAGTTGGCGAATGACACATATATGTGACGCAGGACACATGCTCTCTTTGGGAGTGCTGACAGTTTGACCTTGGGTTTGAAACCAAAACAAACCTATGTGAGGTCATGTCAGTGGTTCATTCCTTAGCTCTGAACAAAGAAATCCTTTATCACGGTACTGGTTTTGATACTATTTACGTTTAGATATGACTTCATGACCTGGTCAGCCAAATATAGCCCAGCTTTGTTTCGAGAACTGATGAGGAATTATTTATCAGTGCTTGCATATGAGTGCTTCCAAGCCTTCAAGGATTGGTTTTCAGTGACGAATTATCAGTTAGGAAGTCAGTGTCGGATTGTCATATATTTCTTTATATATCATTTTTATTTTGCGTCTTGGAAGAGGTATAAACCCACTGAGCCAGTGTTACTTTGTGAGTAAAAGGCATCTTCGCCACTGCGACTTTCAGTATGTGTC